ATTTATTTGACAGAGAGAGACACAGCAAGAGAGGGAACACAAGCAGGGGGAGTGGGAGAGGGAGAAGCAGGCTTCCCGCAGAGCAGAGAGCCCGATGCGGGGTTCGATCCCAGAACCCTGGGTCATGACCTGAGCCGAAGGCAGACGCTTAACGACTGAGCCACCCAGGCGCCCCCAGGCTAGATTCTTAACAGCTCAGTAACTGCTCCTCCTTCCAAATGCAATACAAAAGTTTGAGTCATCTGTCTAGAGACAGAGTCATCAGATTCTCAGAGGAGTTCACCCTCAAACAAGTTCCCAATTCACCATCATTTTGAACTCACTTTTCTTTTTTTGTAACTGGCCCCCCACCCCCCAAGCAAATGATACAAGGGAGCTCCCCCAGGGAGTCTCTTTAACACCAGCCTCCCCTCACCCCACCCTGTCTGCCCAGCCCTGCGGCTTCTTTCTTCATCCCACAGGGAGCCCCAGCCCTTTATGTTCCTGGCCCACCGTGGCCAGTGCCCCTCACCAACCAGATGGCTGGCCTCTGAGGGCTAGGAGAGACAGCAGGGCATGGAGCTGTGCTCTCAGCCCTACTGTCGGGGGCCCCTTTGTTCTTGGGGCTCCCTGGAGCTGGTGGCCCTGGGCCACAGCTGTGAGCAAGCTTAATTCCAGCCTGGCCCCTCACCAAGCTGCCTGAGTCTGTGCTCCTGCAGGGAGCAGCTCCACGGCTTCATAGGTGAAACTCCCGGCAGCTCCTGGGGAGCTCTCCATGACCAGAGAGAAGTCGCTGCCAAGGCTGGTGGTGCTGCCGCGGTCCTTTCGTCCTGAAAGAAGCAAGTGCCATTGGTTAGCACATTATCTTCTCACACTACTGGTCCCCTAGCTCTTCCACACCATACATCTGGAAAGGGAAGTTTCTAGAACAAACAGTTCCTGCGTGGTCTACACTCAGAAAGATGCACAGAGGAAGGGAAATCTGCTGGGGCCTGTAACTCACTCAGCATACAGATATCTTCCAGAGTGAAGCCCACATCCCGGGCTGGCAAACTCTTCCTCCTGTACAGAGAAACCAGAATAGTGAATTACATTCAGTCTTCTCTGTTGTCTCCATACCCAGCATGCTGCTTGCCTGGGAAAGAAGCTCCAACTCACTGGCCAATCAATGAGACAGGTCCTACCTAGAGTGTTGCAAAACGTCAGGCCACTTCTGATAGGCCAGCAAAGCCCAACTCCTCCCTTTCACCTTGGCCCCTCAGAGTTCAATCTGGCCCAACACACCTAGGAGCTTGGATTTGGAGGCAAGTGAACTCAAAGACACCAACTCTCAGAGAGGTTGTAAGGCAACTGCCAGGCAAGACTCCTGTGTTTCCCAGGCTGGAGGCAGACTGTTCCATGGTGGAGGGCTGCACAGAGATGCAGACACACCTCTGCAGCAGCCCAGGAAAGGGCAGGCAGAAGAATCTGCTGTCTCAGTCAGAGTATGGGGTGCTGGGAGTCCTCCTGTCCCTAGGTTGGCTTCTCCCAGCAGCAATGTGCCCTGCTCTCCTAGTCCCCAGAGACCACTCCTTTGTCCCATAGCCTTTCTGTTAGTATGACTGCAGGCTGACCCCAGGCCTGCCTCATGGGCAGGAGAGCCTCTTTCCCCACTGGCTCTCACCGGGAATCCCTACCCAGGCCTCAGAGGGAAGGCAGGGATGAGATGCCAACTTGCCAAGCATGCAGGGAAGCCAGGCAGGGAATCAGACAGTGAGTGAGACCCTGCCTACTCTTCCCAGAGTGGCCCTTCCCAGAGTGCCCTGCCCAGTGTGAGAGAACAGGTCTCTCCTCACCTCTGTGTCTTCAGAGCAGAGAACTCCTCAGAGATGATATGCTTCAAAAAATTGAAGCAGAAGAAGAAAATCTGAAGAAACCAAAAAGCAGTACACATGAGAAGACAGCTTTCTCCAAGGAGAGGAATCTAGGTGGCTGAGCTCCTAGGAGAGAGCAGCCAGCCACCTGGTCAACCCTGATGGACAACAGCCCTGCCTCAGGGACCCTGCTGGACATTCTGCTCTATAAATGGGTGGGAGAGGGTTTGGCAGACAGGGTAATGTGCCTGGGTTAGGGAAAGGAAGGAAGGGAATGTATAAGGGTAAGCCAGTGAGTTTTCAAACCATCTTCAAATTCAACATGCATGTTCTCGAGCCACTGAAAAGGATGAAGAGAATGGCAGCTTTTCCCCTCAGCCTCTCCTAAGGACCCCAAGGTGAGAGGCTAACCAGGAAGAACAGCTGGGAGAGAGATTTGGGGGTGAGGAGATTAATGGACACTGCAGGAACATAATGGAAGGGAAAGGGATCAGATTTTGTAGGAGGAACACCCAGAAATGGTAGTTCAGAAGAACCAGGGGTGAGGGGCAGCCAGAGTCTGAGGTGGGCAGAGGCAGGAGGCAGCTCCTGACCTCTAGCTGCATTCCCACCGCCTCTCTCCTCCCTTCCAGCCAGTGCCCTAGTCAAATGGGCCCCCATGAAGTGCACACAAGGCAGTCTCTACAGTTTTTACACAAACTCCTCAGTGATTCTGAAAGGTGTGGCCCATCAAACCCTCACTTGGATAAACACCCACGTGGTATCCCAGAGCCCCATATGATTTCCTCAAACAAACACCGCCCCCTCACCAAAAGGGAGGGAGGGTGCCCCAGGTTAGGTCAGTATGAAAATGTTGGGTTACATAAAATTAAATAGGTGTCTTCACCACAGCCTTTAGTCTTTAACATGCTAGTGTGCTGTGAACCTCAAGGGCTGGGGAGGAGGAGAGAGGCCATTTAACAGGCCTCTGTTTTGTTTGTTTTAAAGCATCAGCGTCTAGAGTGTCTGGTAGGGGTAAGAGAAAGGCCCATACCCTGAAAACCAACCCTTCCAGCTGAGGAGACCCTCTTATTTATGGGGATGAAAGATAGCCAGGGTCTGAATCCAGACCCCACTGGACTCGGCCTCATCCTCTGTCCAGTTTCTGAAGGCAGAATCTGGCTTGTTCTGAGGGTGGGGGAGGCTGCGTGGAGGGCAGAATGTTCTGGAGCACCAGTCAGTCTGAAAATGAGAGGCTGCAAAGGGGCTTTACGTGCTGATTTCAATGCCAAAGTCACTGCCTCTGACAGAGTTCATGGAGGCCTCTGAGGAAGAGGCTTGTGAGCTCTGCAGCCCCTGCAGATGCGATAAGTACTCAAGAGATTTGGAAGGGGAGAGGAGCTGCTGAGGAGCCGCTGAGAGGGAGGAACAAAAGGAGGAGGCACAAGATAAGATGCTTGGAAAGAAGGCAGCCTCAGGAGGGTGAGAAAGATGCTTCAGGAAGCGGGGGGGACAGAGGGCAAAAGAGAAAGAGCTAACGCTGTGTGACAGCTCCCACGCTGGGCACCTAGACTCATTCTCTTTGTGAGGCAGCATGATCAACACCAGGAGACTCAAGGTGAATCACATTACTCAGGGTCACCAAGTAATAGGTGGGACAAGCAGGGTTCAAACTCAGGTCTGACTCCAGGTCTGCGTGCAGGGAAAACAGGCTGAAAAATAAGCATACCAAAGAGGCAAAGACTGCGAAAAGCAGAAAAGGATGGGGTACAGAGAGGGCAGAGAGAGGAAGAGGGAACAGTGCCCAGAGAGTAAGGAGACCCTGGAGGCCAGCTGGCTGTGCCCTGGTCTGGGTCTGCTCCCTGGGCTGGTGGGGAGCAGCCGGGCAGGACCCGGGCTTGCTCCGCTGGCCGTGGGGCTTACAAGTTGCTGCATGGATGTGAACAGGAAAGACAGACAGGGAAGAGCCTCTGGTTGTAGCTGTAGGGCTGAGGAGCCCAGGAAAAGGCTTGTAATTTGGTTCCATAACTGAGTGCAGAAAACAAGGTCACCTGTGAGAAAGATGGCAGCCAAAGCAAGAAGAGGACTGGCAGCCGGAGCTCAGGGCAGCCATGTGGGCAAGCGTTATTCTCTACCGCACAGGACAGGAACGGAGGCTCAGGATGGGGGCTGTTGTGCTGCTGCTTTTGTGGCCATGCTGCCCGATCCCTGCACGCACTGGGCAAGGAACTGCCCCCTAAGTGTGGATGCCAAACAGGACGTCGTGCTGTTGTTCTCAGAGCCCCGGCATTTGCTCACAGTACCCACCTCCTCTCCTTTGCTGAGCCGATCTACCAACATGTGCCTGAAACAAGAAGGCGAGGAGGTCAAAGCGAGCAGCACCCCAAGACGGGAGGGCAAAGGGGGCCTTGAGTTACAGGGACAGACCATGGCTTTGGCACCACAACCTCAAGTGGGGCCTGACAAGCACCTTCAGTCTTTCCCAAGGAGGCAGGATGGTCTTCACCTCTAACCCTGTCACAGGAGCCACCACACCCAGATGCACACGGAAACACCGTTCCCCAGGCATGATGCCCACCCAACAACCGGACATTCCCCGAAGGCTTACCCAAAGAGGAACCAGTCATAGGCCACAGTTAGGTAGAGGATCTCAGCAGGCTTCAGGGATGTGTGGATAAGCCCATCCTGGAAGAGACCAGAGAGACATGCTAAGATTAGAAAGATGACTCCCCGTAACAACCCCCTCCTTGTCCCAGGAGCTGAACTGCAACCACAGACCCAGTGACAACCGGGCTGCCCAACAGTCCCCAAAACAGCATTAAACCTAACACTTGCTCTGAACACTTGGGGTTCCTCATCCCAAATCTCTAATTTCTGGAGGTACTCCTAATGGTCCCAGAGTAATCTTGGTAGATGGCCTCAGCAAGCTCCCGAACCCCACAGCCCAGCCCGTCCATACTCACAGCCCACAAGGAAAGGCGTAGGAGAGAGATGAAGAGGGGGGTCCGATCCCAGCCTGAGATACAGTGTACCAGCAGCCCGCTGTCATCTACTCAGGAACCACATGACAGGAAACCCAGAAGCAAAGCAAACACGGGTGCATGAGAAGAGGACATGCCACCACCCTGGTCTGGTGTCAGCCATGCCACCCCTAGTCTCCCTCTTCCTGGTGGGCCTCTCCAAGATTCTTCTCCCACCTACTCCCAGAAAGGGGTGGGTGGCAGGCACTTGTCTCTGTACACAGCATTTCTTCTTCTTTCTTCTGGCTACCTTTCTAGACAAGCAGTACTGCCCAGGTCATTTAGGTGGGGCTGATGTGCATATCCCCACCCAGCATTTCTCAGGGGTCCCTACAGGAATTTTGGAGGAAGACAATTCTTCACTGTGCAGGGCTGTCCCAGGAACTGCAGGACATTTGGGATTCTTGGCTAACCACGCACCAAATGCTAGTAGCCTTCCTCCAGTGCCTGTAACACCCATTTTTCCAGAAGCTCCCTTCCTCCAGTTCCTACAACACCCATTTCCCCAGAAGCAGTACTGCCCCAGGTAGAGAACCACTGCTTAACTCCGGAGTTAGGCATGTGACTTTTTTGCACACTTGGCCACAGTGACTGGTTCAAGGATGGGCACTTGACCCAAACCAGGTCAATGAGCATGAGCTCTGAAACAGAGGCTCTCTCTCTCTCTCTCCTGGGGGAGGTCAGATGGCAGGAAACAAATCAAGAGTGGTTACAAAGCTAATGAGACAGCGGGTATGAGAAACAAGGAGGTTCTTTATGACATTTCTTAGGCACCTGGCTCTGCTTTGGGGCTTTCTTGGTTATATAAGCTATACATTTCCACTTGTTTAAGCAAGAGCAACCCCACAGAAGTCTTGACTGGTATCGATGAGTTAGTCAGCCCACCCTAGAGACACTGAGCATGATGGGCCCATCCAATCAAAACAGCCAAACCAGCTGGAGTACCATCCAGTGAACAGGCCCTCTAGGGACTTTCGTGTGTGCCCAATAAGAATCCAGAACTGATTTTCTCTCATCTTTCTGAATTAGAAGAGGCAATTCCGGCCCCACACACAACGCTGATGATCAAAGGTCAGCTAACCTAGTGTAGAAACACGGTGCATAGTTCAGATGGTAATGAGCTCACAATTTTGTTTTCTAAGGTTTTGAGGAATAAAGCTGCCAATGGACAAGGGAATCCCTAAATCTTTCTCCCATAAAGCAAAAGGCAGGCGTGTGACCCCAACAAACATATTCATGGTATCATGACCTGGGAATATCCAGAAGGGCCAACGGCTTGAGGGCTCAGGCGGAGGCAAACTCACCATCGCTGTTAATTATGGAAAGCAGCAGTTTCAAGTAGTTCTGTGTTTGTTGCACCAGGTCCCAACTCTGTTGAAGAACGATACAGGGTGTCTAGGAATCGATATTTCACTCAGACTGGGAACTTAAGGTATTTCCGAAATAAAATCCAAGAGTTATTCTTGGGCAACAAGTACCCCAGGATCTTGGTCACAGGCCTTAGGCCCTAAATCCCAGATAATCTGAAATTTCACTCTCACGCTAAGAGCTCCTCCCACCTCTCCCTGCACCCTCACCCTGTGGGCCGCCCCTGCCCGGTATTCTAACACGATGTGATGGTGAGGAGTGGGAAGCCATGCAGCAGCCTGGGCAACTCACAGCTTCACAGCCAGCAGCCGCCACACACTAGCCTGCTCTAAGCCCTGGGCTCGCAGCATGGCTGTCCAGGGAGGTTAGAGAAGCGAACAGAGCCTTGAGCCTGTGAGCACTGGTGCCAAATGGAAAGAGCCATTCTTTCATCTGCAATCACATCACAGAAAATATCAACCTTCAACCTCCTCAACAACCATGTTTCATTCACTTTTTACTGCTATTCACTGCATACTCCTTTTTTTTAAGGATTTATTTATTATTATTTTTAAAGATTTTATTTATTTATTTGACAGAGAGAGACACGGCGAGAGAGGGAACACAAGCAGGGGGAGTGGGAGAGGGAGAAGCAGGCTTTCCGCTGAGCAGGGAGCCCAATGCGGGGCTCGATCCCAGGACCCTGGGATCACGACCGAGCCGAAGGCAGACGCTTAGCGACTGAGCCACCCAGGCGCCCCTAAAGGATTTATTTATTTTAGAGAGAGAGAGAGAGTAGGAGGGGGAGAGGCGAGAGAATCCCAAGCACGGAGCCCCATGCAGGGCTTGATCTCATGACCGAGATATCACGACCCAAGCCGAAACCAAGAACTGGACACTCAACTGACTGCGCCACCCAGGCGCCCCTGCATCCTCTGTCTTTTGATGAATAATAACTGCAGTCTGATTGGCAGACAAAATCTTTTAAAACAGGAAGTCCATGGGGGCGGGGAGGGGGGATGAAAAACAAGAAAAACTGCAGAAAGTATAGCCCAAGCTAAAGGTCTAGACCAGACGCTCTGAGAAACCGTCTAGTGGCATCTGGAATTCCATGGAGGGGCCTGGGCCAGTTCGGACGCTCCTTCCCCCACAGCTGGGGACAGCCTCCCTCCACAAGTGCTTACCAGTGTTCTGGGGCTGAGTGGAGAGGCCAGCGGGTGCCGGTGAGAGGGCGAACATGGCACCTGGAATTGGAATGGTTTTCCCGGGAATTTAGAACAGGCTCATTTACGTGAGCCTCGCCCGGGCCCTGGTGGGCTCTGACCTGCTTCGGCAGCCCTAGAAACGGCTGCCGCAGTGCATCACTAACAGTGTCCTCGCCCGCAGCAGCACATGGGTCTCGGCGCTCATCTGGCTCAACCTGTCACACACACCGCTGCCAACAGATCTCCCCCGAGACGGGGTTCTTGCGGGTGTGGAAAAGCAGGAGAGGGGCAAGGGAGGAGGCAGGAGCCATGTGGCAGCACGAAGCCCAGGGAGGTCAGGTAAGCCGGGGAGAGGCTGCAGCGCCCAGGAGAGGGCAGGAAGTGACCAAGGGCGGTGGCCTGCAGAGCTCCAACAGCCATGGCGGCTACTGGAAGGGGACACCAAGGCCCAAGCAGAGGCAGCAGATTCACTGTGCCCAGTGCTGGGGCAGGAACCGCAGGCTGGGGAGCTCTAGGTTGGGAGAGGCCCAAAGTCACAGAGCTAATCTGAACCCAGCCCTGCCAGACCGTGAGAGTCACGTCTGTAGTCACATGCTACACTGCAGGGACTTCTCTGATAGCAGAGTATGAAACTGAAGTTTGAGGGGACTGCAGAACTTGAGGGGGACCTGAGAAACGCACTAAAATCTAGGCTCAGCACTAACTCTCCCTTCGTAAGTGCTCTACGAACAAGTCTCTGGGGACAGAGCTCAGCACCGTGCCACTGCTTATGTGTCTATGCTTGGAGTCCTCTTCCCCGTGGCGGGCAAACTCCTATTCATCCTTCAAAGGCCCAGCCCTGTTATCTTCTACTGAGTCTTCAGAAAGCCCTGGTCAACACCTCTATGTCATCACCAGATGACGGTGATGCTGTTGCCTCTTTTCCCAGCCTGAGCCCAGTGAGGGCGGAAGCCGTTTTGGAATCTCTGCATCTCTAAGGCCTAGTGCTTTGGGACGAGAAGGCACCTGCAGATGTCACTTCTCTGACTGTTCACGAGGAGCAGCCGCCACTGGAAGGGGTCTTATGCCACAGAAAGAATGAGCACTCCTCTAAGGGAATCAACCCGTTCACAGAGGGCAGCAACACCCATATATGTACTTCCAGAAGTGTTCCTGCACTTGGGAACATCGCTGAGGGCCTGGCCCTGGGCAACAGCAGCGTCCATGACGGCCCCAGCCCCCTAACAGGGCTGCAGGGGCAGGCAGGCAAAGTGAAATTCTACATGTGCGCTGACTAAAAGGAGACCTGCGGGATCCTGCAGGACCCTGTAACCAGCGAGCTGAGCCTAGTATGATCCATGGGGTCCAGTAGGGAAGCTTCCTGAAGGCAGTGACATCCATATAAGAGGGGAGGGAAAGGAGCCAAGTTTCTTCTGCCAGAGAGAACAGTATGTGCAAACCTGGAGAGCATTCTTCCATTGAGGGGCCAAAAGGAGGTCAGTGTGGCTAGAGAAAAGGGAAGGGATGGCTAGTCACAAGCACAGGGCTGGGCTGTGTGGAGCCGAGTGGCCCACTAAGCATCACTGGACTGTACTCTGAGGAAAATGGGGCAGTCAGTAGCACATTCTAAGGGAGGGGTGACAATGATGACCTTGTTCCATCATTTGAGTATTCCTCTCTGCCAGGCCCTATTCAAATGCTTTACATTCACTGCTTCCAGCTCCCCCTCAATGGGGCACCTGTTCAGACACAAGACGCACCCAGATGCCAGCGGCCCAGACTAGGCTAGTGGTACAGGAGATGGAGGCAAGAAGATCTGGAGAGTTTCACCAGGGGCAGAGATTTAGAGAACTGATGGGACCGGGCAATGGATGTGGCAGGAAAAAAACCCACGTTTTGACTTTGAGCATCCGGGTAAATGGTTGAGGGCCTGGGGTGCTGTGGGTTGTGGCCAATTCCATTTCAGACAGTTTGTTTAAGGTGGTTGCATGAAGGGACACTGATAAGAGGTGATGTAGACGGGCATCTGCCTTCGGCTCAGGCCATGATCCCAGGGTCCTGGGATCGAGCCCCGCATTGGGCTCCCTGCTCAGTGGGAAGCCTGCTTCTCCCTCTCCCACTTCCCCTGCTTGTGTTCCCTCTCTCGCCGTGTCTCTCTCTGTCAAATAAATAAATAAATTCTTTAAAAAAAAAAAAAAGAAAAAGAGGTGATATAGATGTGGATCCCCAAGAAAGGTGTGGCCCAGAATCCTGGGTAGGGGAGAGCAGTGGGCTAACGGAGTGGACAATAGATAAGGTCACCTGGGGAGATAAAGAGGACTAACAGGGAGTCCTGGACACTCATGCTGAAGTGGCTGACAAGGCAGATCCCACACCTGGCTGAGGAAGAGGATGGTAGGAAGCCCAGTGAGACCAAGTAGCTGAGCAATACTGGAGAGGGGAAAATGCCCTGGCCTCCTACTTTTGTGCCTAGAATTTTATTAGCGTTCACTTCCTTGAGTTAACAGGCTAGCAGCCTACTTCTGAATTATCATCATTAAAATTGATCTGGCATTTCAGTTAAGAGGCCACTTTCATACCGTGATCATATCTGAACTCTGAAATAGGTGTTGTCATCACCACTTTTCGAGGAAAGTGAGGCCATTGCTCAAAACCACAAAGCCTTGAGAGAAGGGCCGAGCAAGCTGGGGCCTAGATCCAGGGCCTTGATCTACTAAGCAGGACTCTTCCTCATATGCACAGGACTCCCTCCTAAAGAGACCTACATCCTACGCAGCATCAACACATTAAACTCCTATTTGCACCTTATTGGTTAAGTCGTTCATCAGACCTAGTTTGTGCATAAGAAGAATGGTGCCAGAGTGGCGCCCGGGTGGCTCAGTTGGGTTGAGCGTCCAACTCTTCGTTTCAGCTCAGGTCATGATCTCAGGGTAATGGGATCGAGCCCTGTGTCATGCTCCAGGCTCAGTGGGGAGTTTGCCTGAGACTCTCTCTCCTCTCCCTCTTCCTCTGCCCCCGATGTGCGCATGCATATGCTTGCGTACTCTCTAAAATAAATAAATCTTAAAAAAAAAAAAAAATAGAATGGTGCCAGAAAGAAGAGTGAGGGTGGCTGGGGGTAGAGCCCACTTGACACCTCTGCATACAACAAATTAAGAAGGAAACCTGCAAGTTTTGGAATCTCTGGGGACAAAGATCTGTCCACTCAATCTGTCTAGGTACTGCCTAGGACATGAGACCAGGGGATAGGGTCCCCCAACCCATTTCTTCTCCAGGCTTCTGCAGCACAACAAAAAACTGGCCTGCTCTTCTTCCTCACCTGCAGAGAGAACACCTGCTACCACTCTAACTCATTCAGAGTTGTCAGGGGCTGGGTGTAAAAGATGAGCACAGCCTCTGCCTTTACAGACCCCTTACAGACCAGGACAACAAAGCCCAAGGTGATACGGGAGCACACAGCTGCCTAATCGGTGAACCTGGCCTCTCTGCCAGAGGGAGACCTCAAGGCTAGATGGGAATTGTCCAGACCCAGGGACAAAAAAAGGGAAGGAAACAGGATGTTTCCTAGGGATGTACTGGCTTGGCTTCTCCAGCTCTAGGCTCCGTGCCAGTTTCTGTGCTGGGGATGTAAAGCTGGGGTTCCCCATCCTCCCGGAGCTCAGTCTACCAGAGATGGAGAAGCAGATCTCTACATCAGTGACTTCAGCTCAGTGGAAAATTCCATGACAGATATGCCCAGGGTCAATGGGAATGCAGATACAGGGATCCAACCCTCTGGGGAGAGGGGAGAGGAGGTATGTCGGGGAAGTCTTCCTGGAGTGGACACTGGAGCCGAATCCTAAAGGCAGTGTGGCAGCCAGACAAGATGAGAAGACAAGGTGAGAAGTGGCAGCCAGGAAGAAGGAACAGACATGGGGAAGGCAGTGGGGAGAGCAAGGCTACTTGTCCTGGCTGAAGCAAGTGGCAAGGAAACTGCTGGTGGCCTTCGGGTTTCTACAATGGGCTAAACATGCTTACTGGATGAATCCATCCAGTAAGCCTGGGGCCCTTTCCATGGGGAGAGGGAAGAGGAGCACAACGGAAATAATTTTAAAGTTTCTATAATCAAACGAGGTCAGACAGCTCTGCACTTCCTCTGGCAGAACATGCATTTAAAAGGAAAATGAAAAAAAAAGTCACTAAAGCCCAGAGCTGGAAAAGCAGACTCCATGAGGTCCTCTGGAAACAGAAGCTGCTGGGGGATGTAAATCTTTGAGTGAGTCATGATCAGAAAGCTTTCATTTTCTGGGCTAAGAGCAAATCCGCAGAGAGCTAAATGGATAAGCAGCTTCTTCTGTCCTAGACTGTGAGAGGTGAGAGGGCACGAGCCAGCCCTTCTGGTATCTGCATGAAGGACTTCTAGGGCAGGCACCAGGGACCCCCTCCATCCCTCCCTTATCCTGCCCTGCTCCAGTCAGGCCCCTCACCTGATACTGGCTCCAGTCAATGTTCAGAGAGCAAGTCAGGAAATCGGGGATGCTCAGTGGGGCATCGACATAGTCCTGGGGGCAGAAAGACACTTGTGAGATGCAGGTGGCCACCAGGAGAAGCCATGATGATAGGGCGGGTCATGACCCTGAAGCTGTGGCTTCCACAGGCAGGCAGGACATCCCTCCACAGTGCTTGCCTTCTCCGGGCCAGATGCCTATGCTGCCCTAGGAGTGACAGTTTGAAAATCAAAGGGACCAGACATTGCTTGCAAGTGGAGTTTTTCAGTGGGCCATTCTAGTGTTCGCTGCTGAGACAGACATGATGACTCTGCAGTCAGTGTCCAGCAGGCTCCCGTGGCCTGCTCCTGCCGACTGAGAAAGGAACAGAATGCAAGTCCCACTTTTTATGCAGATGGTAGAGCAGACAGAAAGGATATTTCCTATCTTGTCCCTGAAAAAAACCTTTGAAGAAAGGGATAAATTAAAGGGGGAGAGCAAAGCATGTATGAGAATTTCAACATGTACATAGAAAGAGAAGAGGGAAGGAAAATAAGGAAGAGAAGAGAAAGGAAAAGGTAGTTGTTTTCCCCAAAAAGACTGCAAGCTGTTCTCTGTGCTCTCCCTTTGCAAAGAAATGTTAAGACCCAAGCTGACGAATGTTACTGCTCATACCTGCTTCCAGTTAAAAATGAGCCCTTCAGCCATGTAATCCCGATCCTTATATTCCTTGAAAAATTCACAGCCTGGAAAAGAAGGGCAAAGTTAAGACATCACCCTTGCTAGCCCAGTTTCCTGAGATGCCCCTGAGTGCTGAAGGACCCAGGTGGCCACCATACTGGCGGGCCCCACGTGAGACCACAGCTGACACAGGTGGGGACTAGCACGGGCAGGCAAGAGCTAGTGCTCCTTTGGTTTCCAGTTACAAGCCCTCATGATGAGGTACGGCCTGCCGGCACACCACTTTGTATCTGTCTCCAGCTGGGCTCAGTGGTTACTGGTCACTTCTCCCTGATTTCAGGTCCCTTTGTCCTACATGTCCCTGAAGTGCCAACAGCCAGCAAACAAAGCATGGTTTACAGTCTGAGTGCCAACAGCACTTTTCTCAGCCACTTCCCTAGTTACCGAGGACCATTCTCCCTCCTGTCTAACACCAACCTCACAGGCCCCTGGTGACATAGTAGAAAAGACCACAGACAGTGCCTGAAACATGACAGGTGCTCCAGAGACATGTCCGTCTCCAACAAACCTGGCTGAGAGGTACTTTTCTGTCTCATTCTCTAGAAAAACTGTAAGAAACTCGGCCAGAGTAGGCCCTCAGGAATATAGAGAGGAACAGCGGAGAGAAAGGGCTTCAGCAACATTCTCGGCTTCAAATCTGAGCCTTTCACTTACCTCTGTGATTGCAAACAGGTGGTTTAACTTCTCTAAGCCTTGATTTTCTCATTTATAAAATGGTTAAAGACGAAATACTACATATAAAACACCTAGCAAGCACGGTACAGATGGCTTTCGAATGACAGCCATTGGTATTATGAATAATAGTGCTGGTTATACCATGCTGCTTCTGCAGGGAGGGCCCACAGGGCCAGCCCTGCCACTTACAGTCAACTGCTTGGGTCACAGAGAATGAGACTTGCTCATCTACCACAGCACAGGGAGCATCCTGGGCTGCTGTGGCTTCAAGAGTGGCAGAAGGCACTTCGACGCAGCTTCTTGAAGTTATTCTCACTTCCTCAACCAGAACCAGTACAAACTTTGGAGGGCACATGCCTTTGGCCACAGGTCCAAGTCTGGTGAGGTCCCCACCCAATGGCAATACAAGAGGCTGTCGGAATTCTGTGAAGGTGGCCACAGGCCAAAAAAATTCACATGGAACTTCCCCAGCTACTCTTGGGCCAAGTTCCTGTGTGAGGCCGCCCCAGGCAAGACTGGAAAGGTTCCTTCGGAGAGGAAGGTCTGGAGACGCAGCCCATGTCCTGTATCCCGGGCTTCCATCCCAGACGCACTCCTGCACTCTAATCCCTCAGGCCTCACTGCTGATCGAGAAGTCAGGAAACCATCCTCAGCTCTAAGGCTCCAGTCTAAGGTGCCTCACTGGCAGAAAGAAGAAATATAAATATCAGACAGGGGCCCCAGGCTTATAAGCCCAGGTTTAGTAAAGCCACCAATTAGCTCTCAGAGCTCCTTCGAAGGACCAGTTTCCCCAAACTCGACCTGCTCAAATCAACACTGCAGGCTCTGGGCTGAGCTCCGGCCAGCCTGTGATGCAGAGGCAATTTCTTGGGAGAAATGGACAGAATTAAAATAGATTCAGTACCGGGACACCTGGGTGGCTTAGTCGGTTAAGTGTCTGCCTTCGGCTCAGGTCATGATCCCAGGGTTCTGGAATCGCCCACATCGGGCTCCTTGCTCAGCAGGGAGCCTGCTTCTCCCTCTGCGTGTGCTCTCTATCTCTCTCTCTCTGACAAATGAATAAATAATCTTTTTTTTTTTAAGATTTTATTTATTTATTTGAGAGAGAGAATGAGAGACAGAGGGCACGAGAGGGAAGAGGGCAGAGGGAGAAGCAGACTCCCTGTTGAGCAGGGAGCCCGACGTGGGACTCGATCCCGGGACTCCAGGATCATGACCTGAGCTGAAGGCAGTTGCTTACCAACTGAGCCACCCAGGCGCCCCGAATAAATAAAAAAATCTTTTTTTTTTTTAAAGATTTTATTTATTTATTCATTAGAGACAGAGAGAGAGAGAGGCAGAGGGAGAAGCAGGCTCCCAAGGAGCAGGGAGCCCGATGCGGGACTCGATCCCAGGACCCTGAGATCATGACCTGAGCAGAAGGCAGACGCTTAACGACTGAACCACCCAGGCGCCCGGAATAAATAAAAAATCTTAAAAAAAATAAAATAAAATAAAATAGATTCAGTACCCAGGGCAATGCCTGACATTCATTACCTAAACAGGCTCCTAAACCCACTGAGAGACAAGAGGGATGGGACCAAAAGCAGGGGTGAGAACAGCCACTCGCTCAAGAAGAAAACCAATCAGACTTGTGCAGCTGAGTCTTCAGCTGTTTTGGTGTGCTGAAGGAAGTGCTCCCAGAACACTTCTCCAGGTCAAGGGCCAGTCCAAATCCAAGTCCATCCGACAGAGCTAGAACTGAGAGCATCAGAGTTCCATCTGGCCTCACAGTCATCAGAGGACTCAGCTGAGATGCCGTGAACAGCTACAAAGAGCAGTTCATGACTGGCCTTTCAGTAATGGTAACTGTTTCTTTTCTTTGGGAAGAAGTAAGCCAGGCTTGTAAAGCAATTATAAAGAACATAAGCAGAGCAGGTAAAAAGTGTCTCTCCCATCCCCTTACCTGATGTGTGATGGCCTCTCCCCCACCTCCGGCCTTATGGTTTCTATTGATTTGGAGTCCACTAATTTCCCTCCCACCAACACACACACACACAACTATCAGGTGTAGTACACGGACACCTTGGCAAGAAGAGGGAAAAAAATTCACAGGTTGTAGCATCTTACCATTTTGGCTATTTCCTGCTCGCCCTTTTGTGAAAGCATTTTTTCCTTTACATTGTTGACACTGTACTAATACAATTTTGTGTCCTGCTTAGCATTTTAAGCATCTTTCCATATCAAAAATTCTAAGCATTTTTCTATGACTATGTAATAATCATTCTGACTAATGAAAATGCTTCTTGTGTTCTGTTAGTATAAACAGACATCATGCTGAACATCCTCAACCCCGAGTTAGCTGCATTATGGCCTGCTGAGTAATGGGGTCAAAGGGTGTTACGATTTGGGGAGTCCTGTAGCAAGTTGTCACGCTACAGCAGAAAGGGGACAGTGCTACAGTTCTGGAGAAGTAGCAGGACAACTTCCAGCAAAACTATTTTTTCTAGGGGCGCCTGGGTGGATCAGCTGGTTAAGCGTCTGCCTTCGGCTCAGGTTGTGATCCCAGCATCCTGGGATCAAGTCCCACATCGGGCTCCCTGCTCAGCGGGGAGCCTGCTTCTCCCTCTCCCTCTGCCTCTCTCCCTCTCTCTCTCACTGTATCTGTGTCTGAAATGAATAAAATCTTTAAAAAAAAATTTTTTTTTCTAAAAAAAAAAAAAAAGGATAGTAGGAAGGGAAGAATGAAGGGGGGAAATCGGAGGGGGAGACGGACCATGAGAGACTATGGACTCTGAGAAACAAACTGAGGGTTCTAGAGGGGAGGGGGGTGGGGGGATGGGTTAGCCTGGTGATGGGTATTAAAGAGGGCACGTTCTGCATGGAGCACTGGGTGTTATATGCAAACAATTAATCATGGAACACTACATCAAAAACTAATGATGTATGGTGATTAACATAACATAATAAAATAAAAAAAACTATTTTTTTCTAAACCAAGCTCTACTTAAAACCTAAATATAAACAAAGAAAGCGACGCGTGGTTCCTCACACAGCACAGACTCTTCCTGTTCAACAGAGTACTTTGGTCCGTGGACCCCCAAAACATCTGGGAGTTGGGAGCTGGGTCTGAAAATTGGCTTTAGAGCTATCTAACTGCTCCAGCACAGACACTCTGCGTAGGACACTTCTGTCGCAACGTGGCTCAAGCCCACAGCATCACCATCATGGTTTGCATCTGCTCCCAGCAGCTTTCAGGGAAGAGGAATTTCCCTGAGCCTGTCCTCCCTGTGTACCCATCATTTAGCCTGCTGTTTACTGAGCACCTGTTAGGGGTAGATCTGGCACTTTACCTTGAAATAAGCCCCATTATCTTCATTTTATGGAGGATGAAGCCAATGTGAGGCGGGGTTGAGGTGCTTATTCCAAGACGCACATAACTATTAGGGCTGGGACTCGCACCCTGCTCTGCAAGGCACTAACCGCTAAGCTGGCAGAGAAGAGTGAAGAGAGACTCCAGGGGAGGCCATTATGGGAAGAGTGCCAGGCTATCAAGGGTCGTGGTTTGAATACCACCAGCTCACACTGGGGAGGACACCCTCTCCTGCCAGGCACTAAACTTGTAGTTCTAATGAGGAGACCTGCTGTATACAGCAAACCTGTTGTCCCTGGCCTGCTCCTGCTATTGGCCATGTGGCTCCAATATGAGGAGATAAGGTCCAGCATAGGACCGAAGGTGGATGCTGATGCTGAGAAGTAGAAGAGAGGTTTCAAGGAGAGAGAATACTTCCTGCTCCTGTTGACAAAGTCTTGGCTGACATTAGGGCTCTTTGACCGCCCTTGCTGAATAAGCAGGTATTATCAGAAAGTTTCAGTGTTACCAACTGGACATAGCTTTACTATCCAGTACATTCAATACTGCCCTGGCCATAGGTCTCATACATATCTGGGCACCAGAGACAACTGCAGCTAGCTCTGTGTACGCCAACGTGTTTTACAACATGGTGAGGCCACCCACGGTGTACAACTGGGACACAGCAATTATGTTCTTCATCACCAGGAGGGCCTCACCTAGGGCAATTTCCATAAATAACTTGATCACCCCAAGACAGACATTCAAAGGTTCATATCCACAAAGGCCAGCGCAGCATGATTAGTTGCTGACACAGAGTAGTAGTAATGTTGTTTTATGCTGAAACAGCGTTTTACCTGCACAGAGCACTTTCACAAACATGATCTCATCTAAGCTTCACAACAAACCTTGAGTTAAGCCTTTCCAAGTTCCAAATGACACCTGAGAAAAGCTGAGGCTTGGAGAGGCAAAGTAACTCGCTCAGGGCTGTAGCAGTAGTACCCGAGCCTGGAGTCAATCCCTGGACCCCGAATGGAAAGTGCCTTCCCGGACAATGTCCTACCCTAAGTGTGAGAGCTTAAGACTGAGAGCCATGGTGTCCTATGCTGATCAACACAGGATCCTCTGGGCGGGGGGTGGGGGGGTGGGTGGAGGCATGGCGGCCCACCTGGGTGGCTCAGTCGGTTAAGCATCTGACTCCTGGTTTCAGCTCAAGTCAGGATCTCAGGTTCATGAGACCGAATACCGTGTTGGGCTCAGCGCTCAGCATGGAGTCTGCTTAGTTTCCCTCTCTCCCTCTCTCTCTCTCAAATAAAGAAATAAATCTTTAAAACAAGACAACACAAAACATAAGATCCTCCGGGAAAGCTCTAGGGCACCTATGTACCTAAGTACAGAAGCCTGCAGATGGCCTCCGAGAGCACCCGGTCCTAGGAAACCTGTCTCTTGACTAGATACTGAAAAGAGCTCCCTACCTGGATACGGGATGGAGAGCAGAGTGAAGTCGGCATAGCGCTGGGCTTTGTCCACCTTCTCGGAGGAGGTTACACTACAAGACAGGACACAATGTGTTATGGCATCACAACACATATGCACCATTCTCCAGTGAGTATTACATCAATGTAAAATGAACCTCTTGCTAAAGAAACTACTCTTCAGATTTAGGAATGATTCCCTTCAGCAGTGCTGACTTTGAACAATTAAGAAATGTAACTTCTCGGGGTGCCTGGGTGGCTCAGTCGGTTAAGCGTCTGCCTTCGGCTCAGGTCGTGATCCCAGGGTCCTGGGATCGAGCCCCACATCGGTACTCCCTGCTCGGTGGGAAGCCTGCTTCTCCCTCTTCCACTCCCCCCTGCTTGTGTTCTCTCTCTCACTGTGTCTCTCTCTGTCAAATAAATAAATAAAATCTTAAAAAAAAAAAAAAAAAAAAAGAAATGTAACTTCTCTGCCCCCTACTCTAACTTATCAAGCAAGAGAGGTTACTCTCCAATTCTGCAGCATCCACAAGCGCAACAACCTCCCTACTGAGTCCCACAAATGAAGGCAGCACAACCACCCTGACCCAGAGGGTGGAATGAGATGAGAACAAGTAACTGAGACACTGTCCAAAGGGGGCTTCTGGGGGACTCTAGCCTCTCCTGTCTTCTCCAATATTCACTGAGGACACTCCTCAACAGGGCGGACAAATGGCATCTGAAAGGGAAAGACTTTGGACATTCTGACGGAAGAAGGGAGAAGGGAATATTCAGGTGTCTATGCACAGCTGAGCTGTAAGGCCTCAGTATGTCTTATTTTCTAAGACAACCTCCGCATAAGTAAAAGTCAGTATGATGAAAAAATAAAACATTTTTTTTGGCAGGGGGGGAAATTCTACAATCTCATCACCTCAACCCAGCTTCCATTATTTTCAAATTTTGCCTTATCAAGTATCAAGATTTGGTCCATATGTGAAGTAAAAATTGGGCACATACACTGAGTTTTTTTGTTGTTGTTCCATTTAGAAAGAGACTCTAACCTACCAGAGAGGATGCAGAACTTGGAGCCAAGGGACAAACCTTCAAGAGTTTCTAAGAGAAGGAGGCAGCAGAGCGCAGGTTAGAGACTCATGGGCCCTCAGTTATTCTCTGCATGACCTTGAGCAAGTTACTTAACCTCTCTGTGCTTTAGTTTCTCACTTGCAAGAGGGGCATAGTAGAACCTGCCTTGCAAGAATGTTTGAAGATACAGCTAGAAGATGTACAGAAAGCCCTCAGCATGAGGCCTGGCATGTAGTGAGCCCTTAGTAACTGCTGTATATACCATCACCGACCTGAAAAGCGGTGAACATATCACCAGTGCAGGAGGTGGCCTGTACTTACTTCATGCCAAACTTCACCTTCTTGTTCTCCACCATCAGGTCGCAGATGTATTTGACTGACAGGTACCGAAGCAGCTTGATGTCATAGCCTCTGACCTTATCAAAAAGATGTGTGTCGGAACTTCTGAAACAAAGAGCCGAAGGGAGAGGTTGTACTGCACATTCATTCAGAGAAGTTTGGGGGATAGGGAGCATGTTCAAGGAAGCAGAGATGTCACTGGCAAGAACTTCTGTTTCCCCTCTCCATTCGATGGAGGGAGGGCCGAGACAGGACAACTGGCTTCAGGGAAGGTGACTTTCTAAGAGATTACCCTGCTCTCTGGGACATATTTCAAAGAGGAGCAATTTGCAGCCGAGAACTGGGAAAGGGCTTTTTGGCACTGCCTGACATTAAGCCAAAAGACTCGAGATAATCTCGGAGTTCTAAAAAGCAGCAAGCTGGTGGCTGATAGAGTCTCTGAGCTTCCATTAATCTCCCTCCAGCCCCCCCTTTCCCATTTATGACCATTTTTAGCCATATGATTTGCTCATAATGTAACTGAGTGAAATGCTTGCTGGAGATGGACTTTTTAGAGCTGTTTTATCACCTGATTATGAAATTCTACCAAGTGAATTCCCTCTTCTTAGCAGGTCTAAGCAGCAAGGAGATAAAATTTTTCCTAATCCCCCAGGCTGTCTTTTGATCAGTCATACAGATAAAGGCAAAAGTAGAATGAGTACACAGTCACCATTAATTTTTTAATGCCCACTGCTTTGCTGTCCACAGCAGTGTCCTCGCCAAAAACAGTGTATGCTATGGAAGACGGCCTGGCTGAGGCAGAGGTCGTCTGATCTCAGGGGGAGAGCCAAACATTCTTGAGCACAAGCCAGGGTTGCTGCTCTCGGAACTGACAGGCAGAACTGGGCATAGTGAGATGCCTTTTCATGCACCAAACCATGATTTTGGGCAGCTGATCTTACTAGGGTGCTCGTGTGCATTCCAGAGATGCCTGATACCAGTTAAAGACTTCCCACGGGTACAGGCCATGCAAAGGAGCTTTTCCAAAATATCCTAGGGTGTCATTTTCTAAAAACATTTGGAAAGGAGGTAGAAGAGTGTGAACCAACCCATTTCCTCCCTTTAAGGGGGCCTAAAATACTTCTTTGTATCAAGCTCTATTATGGCATCGATGACAACTTGATGAACTGTGTAACTTCTAGTCTCTGGGTCTCCCACATGGGGACTGTAGCCCCTGCCCTGTGCCTTGGTACCAGGTGTGCTGTGACACCTGGTAGGCTGGCTGTCAGCACCCTGGTCACACCCTGGAAACCACGGGGCTTGAACACACACACAGATGTCTGAGCCCTGTCTCAGACCTGCAGACCCTGGGGCTGAGATACTGCCCAGGAGGGAGACAGACTGCTCAGCCAGCCAATAAAATCAGCTCTGGTGAGAAGCTATGGGATGGACCTTAATGACCCTATTTCAGGGGCATGGACTTAGCCGTGGAAGGAAAGGAGCCAAAGCACTCACCTGGACCAGTGATGAGCATACACCATCGGTATGAAAATGCCCACCACTGGTCAGATACCCCATCCCCAATACAAGCCCAGATCCATAACAATCTGGCACTGACCGAAGAGCGCAGTCCTCCTCGGTGATGTCCTCTGAATCTGCCCAGGCATCATCTGCACCCCCTGCCAGAGAAACCTGTCAGCACCAAGGCTGTTGCACGGGGCTCCACCCAGGGGCTTCCTGACCAGGCTCCTCCCACCCCGCGCCGACACCACCCCCAAGGGCAGCCCTCATGTCTTTCGGCATCAGATGTCCCCTATGCCTGGCAGGCTTCTTTACCCCAGCATCTCCTTGAGTGAAGGGAAGGCCCCTGGTCTCCACCCAGACTGCTCAGACTCTCCACCTCTGCCACCGTGGTGTGGGTGGCTCTTCTCTACATCTGGGCTCTTGTTCTCAGTCAGAGGAGGTAGCTCAATATTCACCTGAGAAAATATAATTGTAGCCAGTGCGTCCATACAGCTCCCCCCATCCAGCCAGGGTAGCCGACCTGCAAATGTGCTGGGAGAGAAACAGCATTTTCAGATGCTTTTCTAGGGTTTTTTTGTTCTTGTTTTTCCCAGCTTTATTGAGATAAAATTGACATACGATATTGTGTAAGTTTAAGGTTTACAACATGCTGATTTGATATACTTATAGATTGTAAAATCATTACCACCATCGAGTCAGCTAACAGCTCTATCATGTCACACAATTACCATTTCTTTTATGTGGTGAAAATATTTAAGACCATCTCTCTTTGCAACTTTCAAGCATATAATACAACATTAACAAGTATAATCACTCTGCTGTACATTTAGATCCGCAGTTTGTACACTCTGGCCGACAGTCAAGATGATTTTCTCAAGTGCGCACAGTTGAAGGAACACCTAGGACTCCGCAGTCTTCCAGGCCCAGCTTCTGGGTCCAGGAGCACTCCCCAAAGTCTTATCAGCACCCAGGCCACAGCAGTCAATCTGAAGAATGCCTAGAATTTTTAATCTACATCCTGTCAAGGGAGCAGCTCTCCCAAACAAGAGGCACCAGAGTGCTACTAAGAGTAACAGACAGATTTAGGGGCTGTCACGCGTGTATGTGTGTAGGATTCGATGTTATGGTCTATGTGTGTGTGCTGGGCGTGGCACTGAACCGTTTACACCACTTCTCACTGAATTTTCAGTGAGCCCACGAGGAGCTGTGGCAGGGTGCATGCACTGCAGCTGCTTCACAGAAGGCACGGGAAGGTCATACAAGGACGGGTAAGCTGGGATTCGGTCTAGACCCACCCACTTCCACAGCCTGTGTGCTTATCATCATCTGGAACTGTTTAGCACAGGGGGGCAGCAACCTCTGAAGCAGGTGGGTCAATTAAGGGAGAAACGTTTGGGTGGTTTGTTTTTGTTTTTATTTACATCTCTCTCTTCTTTACCAAGGAAATGTAGTAGCTATAACTGTGCTTACGGGTTTTTTTTTTTTAATTTTTTTTATTCTTATGTTAATCCCCATACATTACATCATTAGTTTTAGATGAAGTGTTCCATGATTCATTGTTTGTGC